ACATATCCACAAATACCTTGAAAGAATTCGTGTAATAAGTTCAGGGCGATTGCTAATAAAGTCATAAGAAATCCATTGGCCAGTTTGATGCTTAACTTCTTAAAAGAAAACGAAACTTTAGTATGGAAAACTCTTCATTCTTTTAGACAGAAAAAAACGTGTACAACTTTCGTAGAGGAGACTATTCGAAAATACATGATGATGATGATGATGATGATGATGATAATGATGATAATAATGATAATGATGATAATGATGATAATGATGATGAATTTAAACACCGGTTATTGTTATTTCTTGTGATTATACATATGTTGAAAAAGCAACCAAATCATTCACATCTTGTCCGCATAAACTCGCGAAACACATATGACAAAAATGTGTCGTCTGCAAAATTACTGCACATGTGCCATTCAATTTTCATTCTGCTGTTATTCACATATCCCTCAGCAGAAACAAACGAATCATTCACATCTTGATCTCAAATAACATTTGAATAACTTAAACTCGCGAAACACATAGGACACAAATATGTCGTCTGCAAAATTTTGCTGCAGATGTAATAGTGCCATTCACTTCTCTTTCTTGTGTCGTTAACTTATCTTTACTTAATTCTGATGTACGCTTGTGCGTCGTGCTAAGAACTGGCTCAAAATGTCACTGTGACTAAAGTAACGCAACGATGATTGATTGAAATGTATCATCTGAAAACTAAGATTGTCAACTTTCAGAACAAATGCAAAATTCTGAAATCGGGGGCGCCCAATGTAGCATCATTTGCGGGCCATTTCAGTACAGTTTTCGATGGAATTAAACCGTAAAATATTTAAAGAAAACTTGAAGAAACCGTGATGGATTTTATGTGATACGATAGACCGAAAATGAAAATAAACATGCGTATCTCTTTTATATAAAAGAAAATACTTAGCAAGTGCTTTTACATTAAATAAAAGCCCCATTAACAGTAACAATAAAAAGTTACTTGAGAAAAGTATTCGGTATATACACCTCCTACGCCCTTTGCTACTGGTGAAATATAAATGTTTGAGGTCAAAGATGCATGTTGGTGAGTAGATCATTACTGGACAGCGGCCGAATTTCGTTTTAAATTAATGTGTGCAATTATATTTGTAATCATTTGAAACGTCAAACTTTTCGTCTTTTCGACAGATGTAACGTGTGCATTCATTATTTAAATAAAGTATAACAGCAACGGACTGTCGTGTACATGTAAATGCGTTATTGTTGAGAAAGCAAAGCACTAAAGGGACGTAATAACTCTTTTGTTGTTTGAAGCAATGAAAATGGTCGACGGGAGATAATCCTGTTTCTTTCTGAATTGTTGTTATAACTGTAGGAAAGTATAATAATTTCAAGACTTTGTCATTATTTCTTCCTATGATTTCGTGCGCGATAAGCTGACTATTGATTTTGTTGAAAAAATGCAGTAAGCAAGACTTAATTCATATAATGGTAAGATTACGTTTAGCTTCCTGAAGAAGTAAATGCAAACGACCATTCAAGCAGAGCTAGACTTCATTCTTAAATGTGGCCGGATATCAAAACTAATAAGATACGCTGAAGACGATGAAAATGCTATGTATACATGCTCAACATATCCACAAATACCTTGAAAGAATTCGTGTAATAAGTTCAGGGCGATTGCTAATAAAGTCATAAGAAATCCATTGGCCAGTTTGATGCTTAACTTCTTAAAAGAAAACGAAACTTTAGTATGGAAAACTCTTCATTCTTTTAGACAGAAAAAAACGTGTACAACTTTCGTAGAGGAGACTATTCGAAAATACATGATGATGATGATGATGATGATGATGATGATGATGATGATGATGATGATAATGATGATAATGATGATAATGATGATGAATTTAAACCCCGGTTATTGTTATTTCTTGTGATTATACATATGTTGAAAAAGCAACCAAATCATTCACATCTTGTCCGCATAAACTCGCGAAACACATATGACAAAAATGTGTCGTCTGCAAAATTACTGCACATGTGCCATTCAATTTTCATTCTGCTGTTATTCACATATCCCTCAGCAGAAACAAACGAATCATTCACATCTTGATCTCAAATAACATTTGAATAACTTAAACTCGCGAAACACATATGACACAAATATGTCGTCTGCAAAATTTTGCTGCAGATGTAATAGTGCCATTCACTTCTCTTTCTTGTGTCGTTAACTTATCTTTACTTAATTCTGATGTACGCTTGTGCGTCGTGCTAAGAACTGGCTCAAAATGTCACTGTGACTAAAGTAACGCAACGATGATTGATTGAAATGTATCATCTGAAAACTAAGCTTGTCAACTTTCAAACCAAATGCAAAATTCTGAAATCGGGGGCGCCCAATGTAGCATAATTTGCGGGCCATTTCAGTACAGTTTTCGATGGAATTAAACCGTAAAATATTTAAAGAAACCGTGATGGATTTTATGTGATATAATAGACCGAAAATGAAAATAAACATGCGTATCTCTTTTATATAAAAGAAAATACTTAGCAAGTGCTTTTACATTAAATAAAAGCCCCAGTAACAGTAACAATAAAAAGTTACTTGAGAAAAGTATTCGGTATATACACCTCCTACGCCCTTTGCTACTGGTGAAATATAAATGTTTGAGATCAAAGATGCATGTTGGTTAGTAGATCATTACTGGACAGCGGCCGAATTTCGTTTGAAATTAATGTGTGCAATTATATTTGTGATCATTTGAAACGTCAAACTTTTCGTCGTTTCGACAGATGTAACGTGTGCATTCATTATTTTAAATAAAGTATAACAGCAACGGACTGTCGTGTACATGTAAATGCGCTATTGTTGAGAAAGCAAAGCACTAAAGGGACGTAATAACTCTTTTGTTGTTTGAAGCAATGAAAATGGTCGACGGGAGATAATCCTGTTTCTTTCTGAATTGTTGTTATAACTGTAGGAAAGTATAATAATTTCAAGACTTTGTCATTATTTCTTCCTATGATTTCGTGCGCGATAAGCTGACTATTGATTTTGTTGAAAAAATGCAGTAAGCAAGACTTAATTCATTTAATGGTAAGATTACGTTTAGCTTCCTGAAGAAGTAAATACAAACGACCATTCAAGCAGAGCTAGACTTCATTCTTAAATGTGGCCGGATATCAAAACTAATAAGATACGCTGAAGACGATGAAAATGCTATGTATACATGCTCAACATATCCACAAATACCTTGAAAGAATTCGTGTAATAAGTTCAGGGCGATTGCTAATAAAGTCATAAGAAATCCATTGGCCAGTTTGATGCTTAACTTCTTAAAAGAAAACGAAACTTTAGTATGGAAAACTCTTCATTCTTTTAGACAGAAAAAAACGTGTACAACTTTCGTAGAGGAGACTATTCGAAAATACATGATGATGATGATGATGATGATGATGATGATGATAATGATGATAATAATGATAATGATGATAATGATGATAATGATGATGAATTTAAACACCGGTTATTGTTATTTCTTGTGATTATACATATGTTGAAAAAGCAACCAAATCATTCACATCTTGTCCGCATAAACTCGCGAAACACATATGACAAAAATGTGTCGTCTGCAAAATTACTGCACATGTGCCATTCAATTTTCATTCTGCTGTTATTCACATATCCCTCAGCAGAAACAAACGAATCATTCACATCTTGATCTCAAATAACATTTGAATAACTTAAACTCGCGAAACACATATGACACAAATATGTCGTCTGCAAAATTTTGCTGCAGATGTAATAGTGCCATTCACTTCTCTTTCTTGTGTCGTTAACTTATCTTTACTTAATTCTGATGTACGCTTGTGCGTCGTGCTAAGAACTGGCTCAAAATGTCACTGTGACTAAAGTAACGCAACGATGATTGATTGAAATGTATCATCTGAAAACTAAGATTGTCAACTTTCAGAACAAATGCAAAATTCTGAAATCGGGGGCGCCCAATTGAGCATAATTTGCGGGCCATTTCAGTACAGTTTTCGATGGAATTAAACCGTAAAATATTTAAAGAAACCGTGATGGATTTTATGTGATATAATAGACCGAAAATGAAAATAAACATGCGTATCTCTTTTATATAAAAGAAAATACTTAGCAAGTGCTTTTACATTAAATAAAAGCCCCAGTAACAGTAACAATAAAAAGTTACTTGAGAAAAGTATTCGGTATATACACCTCCTACGCCCTTTGCTACTGGTGAAATATAAATGTTTGAGATCAAAGATGCATGTTGGTTAGTAGATCATTACTGGACAGCGGCCGAATTTTGTTTTAAATTATTGTGTGCAATTATGTTTGTAATCATTTAAAACGTCAAACTTTTCGTTGTTTCGACAGATGTAACGTGTGCATACATTATTTCAAATAAAATATAACAGCAACGGACTGACGTGTACATGTAACGAGAAATTGTTGAGAAAGCAAAGCACTAAAGGGACGTAATAACTCTTTTGTTGTTTGAAGCAATGAAAATGGTCGACGGGAGATAATCCTGTTTCTTTCTGAACTGTTGTTATAACTGAAGGAAAGTATAATTATATCAAGACTTTGTCATTATTTTTTCCTTAGGTTTTTTTTTTTAATGTTTTTTTTTTGGGGATTTTTTTTGTAAAGAAAATAAACATTATTAGTTATTATTATATATTAGTTACGTGATGAATGTATTTTGAAGATCTTTACAGGACATTGGCTATAAAGCCTATGATACTTTCCTACTCTACTCTCACAACGTCATTGTCAAAAGCAAGAAAGCCACGATGACACTGGATCGTTCACCTGATATACATTGCTAGAAAAAGGCCAATTATTTAATGCAGAAATAAGTAATTAGGTCACACTGGGTGTGTCGTATTTTAACCCGAACTGCATACTTTATAAAACATGTGTAGGCTTCCGCTAGGTGAGACAAATAAAATACAAACTCGGAGGGAAAAACGAACAACACAGACCAGAATATCTTTAAACAAAATAATGATTTATTAGCAATAATGAATAAAATTCATACATGTACATATCATTATACATGTACATTACAAAATAACTGTATCACAATATGCGGGTCATGTAAACTATAAAAGTGCATGGCAGGTTCTTAACGAACATTCTGAATATCTACATATTAACATGCAGTATAAGACAAATTAATTATACACTCGGAATGAATCTGTCAATATCGTAATGAAATTGCATTGGTTTTAATATTTAATTTTGACGTGTCAGATAAAAAGAAAAAGAAGAAAGAGGCTGAAACATTTTATTTTTCAGACTTCATCTTGTTTTCTGAGTTTTGTCTTTCCGTATTAAAATATCAAATATTAAAATATCCTTAAACATTTCTTAGTATCTGTCCCAGAAAAGCCAAAAACAGTACATAATAACACAACTTTAATGACGTTTCACTGAGCTGACGTCATCGCATTATCATGATGTAACTGACTGACGTCTTAAATCTCAAAATATAACAAATATGTAATAGTGAAACAAACATTAAACGAATGAACTCAAAAAGTAGCGATGTAGGAGCAACAAAAGACTGTTGTTGTGAAATAGACTCTTGTAAAATGACATGACGATATATAAGACTACACGTATTATTTAGATCTATAGAAAGTACCCGATGCTTATAAATAAAGATCTATACTAGTATATAATAAACACTAACAGGTCATGTGTTGTAAAAGATACAATTATGAACAGGTCTATTTTTCTATAAATTAAAATGTAAAAAACAGTGTGTAGTATAAAATAAGGCAGCAGATTCTTTAACACAGAATTGGCTCTCCACATTCACGATGCACCTTTTACAACTGTACATATATACATGTACATCTATATATAGCTATCTAATGCCCATCATTTACAAAATAGCATTGAAGATAAATAATCAAATTAATAACTACGTCAAATTTTCTACTTACGAAAACAAAAATGTTAAGTTTTAAAACGATAAAGCATTTGTCATGAACTATCTGGCATGTTCTTTACGTACTATTTAAAAGATAAACAACAAAATCTACTAAATTTCTTACCTAACTGGCAACCTGAGTTTGAAGATACATAATAAGCTTATTGGAGTGGAATAAATGCCGTCACCATTAAAGTTAAAACAATTCAAAATGCTATGAAAGCATTTAAATCTACTCATAACGCTATCAACGCAACTAATTTTATACAAAACGCTATAAACGCAGCTAAATTAATTCAAAACGCTATCAACGCAGTTAAATTAATTCAAAACGCTATCAACGCAGCTAAATTAATTCAAAACGCTATAAAAGCAGCTAAATTAATTCAAAACGCTATCAACGCAGCTAAATAAGGTCATGATATGGTAATGTTTGAAATAATCACTCTGTGCTTGGCAGACAGTTAACTAAACGTCATAACATTTTCTATTGTATAATGTTAAACATAAGCTCATGAATTGTGCTTTGAATACATATAATAACATTAAAAGGCATTTGGCTCGTAAACAAGAAAAAAAACAACAAACATTTTTTGTTTGGCTTTAAGCAAAACACAACCAAATGAACAAAAATCTCAGAATGTTTACACAACGGTTGCACCATTTTGCATGTACATTGTATACTTTTAGACAGCCTTTCCGACGATGCATAAACGTAGCTGGTGTTATATCTTCCGACCAATAGGAAACTTGGAATTTTGAGGACTCAGGCACTGATGGGGACGTCAATGGTATAGTCATGGTTGTAGATATTAATTCCCTCATCTCCTTTATCCCTTTTACCCTTAATATACAGAAGTATAGGGTGGACAATAGTGGAGATCTCTAGTCCAAGAAGCAATATGCTTACCTGAAAGGAAAATGAAAACATATTCATACTTAGTTATAAGTAGAGTGAACATCTCAAATCTACTTTGACAGTCCATATTTTAGAATAACTGTATCAGTGCAATGCCTCACTTCTTCTCACATCTTTTTTGTAATCAATTAATCAAATTGGTTTAAAACCCTTGCTGGCAAGAACAAGATACACCCATACAACCAGTGCAGACCAAGATCAGCCAGCACACCCGTGCAGTTGTTCTCTTTTCAGTCAGTCTGTACATGCTTTGAAATGCTCCCTAAAAAAAAGATGGTTTTGTCCGGATTGTCCAGGAATTTATTCAAGATACTTTGGGTGGTAAACGATGTATGTTTTTGGTATGTTTTTTGGTTTTACGGTGCACCAACAAAGTATAGGTCATATGGCGCCGAAACATGAAAGATGATTTTGGCTAACCTCGGGTGTTACAATATTAAAGTAACTCCAGGGGTAAAAATCACCTCACATCACTACTGGAGCTTAGAGATGCAATGACTCCAGTTATTTAGTCGCGTCTTACGACCATGCAGGGCTAAACGGTAGCTGCAATTCTGATGCATCAACCTTTGAAGGCAATCCCTCAGTAACAATTGGAGGTAAACGTTAATATGTAAAATATATAATGTAGGAGTGCTTAGTGAGGTAATGTGCCTACATCACCAGTTAGCTTTGATGTTGAAACCCTCTAAATAAAATAGACATGTCCAAATTTAAGTGGATCATGTACATTTTATAAATTATCTTTGTGAAAGTTTAAGGTAAAGGGTGACGTATCATGCTGTCGTATATAGGACAATGTTGGTGTCAAACCGCTTACTTACTCATTCAATTATGAGCAATTTTAAACTCACAAATATCATGCTTTGGTTGCAAAATAAACTAAGTAATTCAGTAAACAATTAATTTCTTTTTTTACGCACAATTATTCCATGAAAGTGGCCTTTATTTTATTTACAGGGTTATATTTCTCAGAAGTGGTCATTAACACAGGTTTAACTGTATGAATGTCATGAAATGGAACAAAACTTACATGCATGTAAGATCCTTCGTATGCATCAAACCACTGGAACAAAGGGTACTGGGCAAGTCCAGCTATCCCTGCAGACAACTGTATGAACCCAAACAACACACCAAAGTAGTCAAGGGGAAACCTGGAAAAATAAATTTCAATTTAAAAACAGTTGTTTTTTTTTTTGTTGTTGTTTTTCATAAAGTTTGACTTTTTCATTAGTCTTCTTAATATGTTGTTGTTTTTTTAAACTCTCTTGTCGCGACATTAATCATACCTGACAAGATGTATTATTTATATGAAACAAAAACGGAGAACAATTTGTATAAACAGTGGCTTACATTTGCATTACTTGTCTGCTTACGGCGCCAATAGAGCAATTAGTTTATCCTGAAGACAACTGTGGTCTAGAATATTATAAGAACTTTTAGAAATATGGTTTATTATACAGCATTAATAGTATGGTGTCATATGCATAAACCCTATCTTCGTTTTGCTTAACCCTCATAATGCTGGAGCCTTTACCACAAGTATAAAGCCATACCAGCTAGCACATGATTACTTTTTAATTTTACATCATACATATATACACAAGCCATATAAATACAGTTAAACTTGTGAACAAAGACCACCTAAAGGAGAGACCAATCATGGTCTTTAAATTACAGATGGTCTTTATTTATAGGTTACCTTCTCCCACTTCAATAATGAAGGATTATCAAAAAGTGACCTATATTTGCAGGGTTATCTTTCTCAGAGATGGTCTTTAACACAGTTTTAACTGCATACATGAACTCATAAATATCAAATCAATAAGCAGCAGGTTGGACGTTTCATCCTGTGGTGTTTTTTGTTGTTTTTTTTTTTTTTTTTTTTTTTTTTTTTTTTTTTTTTTTTTTGGGGGGGGGGGGGTTGTGTTTTTGTTGTTGTATATACGTACGCATCCCCAACAAAGGCAACAGCAACCGTGAACAACGAGGTCCGGAACAGCGTGAAAAGAGCAAAGGCAAAGTACGGGGCGACGGCATGTTTGATGTAACAGAGTACTGTTGTCCCGACGGAGTAGAAAATCACCAAACACATCGGCAGAACGACTGGGATATACACGCTCTTGATTTTACCACAATCTAAAATGATAAATCAATAAAATTCAAGCGTTAGAAACCTATCTTCCAACTAAGGAAAACAACTTTATAAGTGAATCAAATAAACATTACAAATTAGCAAATTGTGAAACATATTGTTCATACAGAAGAAGAAATAATATGCATGTTAAGTTTAAACCAGTTGATTTGGGATTTTCCATACATAATTTAGGCCGATATTCTGGACAGACAATTCTCCATTAACATAAAACTTATTTTTCTCCTATTTGAATGGTAAATTTCCGAAATAAAGAAATAAATTTCTATCCTCCTGACAGTACAACAAAGGGCAATGCCTGTGAACAAGAAAAATACATTTAAAGTGCTTCTATAAACACTACTGGTTTCCTAGCAGTCTTCGGCCAAAAATCGCACTTTTTAACAAATAAAATAAAAATCAGTCTACGGAGGGGTACAAAACTTTGACAGGACAAAGTTAGGTACCTGTCAAGCATTGCCATGTGTTTAATGTTGCACTTTCATTTTACTTTTTAATTTGAATATAGGCCTGAAATGTAACACCTTTTATCACCTTTATTCAAAAATTCATAGCAGTTTTTCGGACCTTTTTTTATTTTGAATATGATTCAGTACCATAAAGCAATGTTAAGATGGTTTTGTCAGACAAACAGAACCTCCCAACCCTTTCCGTGTCGTCTGCAAAAATATTTTCCGAAGTATTGATTTACCTAAAACATGGGGTCTTAGTTATTGCGCATGGATATTCAAACTAGAATCCCCAGGTGTTGCTTATTTTTGAGTAAAGTAATGTTGATGCCTTACTGGTAAAAATAGACTGTACTGGACGAAAATGATAAACGTCCAGAAAATTGCTAGGGGACGGAAACTGCTAGGAAACCAGTACATTTCTTTTCTTTATTTATTAAGTTGGTCGAGTAAGTGCCCTGAAACGCAACAAGTGTTTTCCAAATACCCTCGTTGAACTATTATTATTGCTGCGGTATATTTGATAGTGTTACTGAACAATAGTTTACAAATACTTTTGTCGGAGCTTAACATATTCCAATATTTGAATTATTTCCTAACATAAACAAGGCAGGCCGTGCCGGCCAAATTACAAGAATTCATTACAACATAGTTATACATTCCAAACAAGCACAATATGTATAAAAGAGTAATCTACCAAGTAAGTCATAGGCAGTCCAGAGTGGTTGACCCCAACATTGACCTCAGAAAAAGTCAAAGTGCTAAAATTGCCTAAAATTTCTCGAACGTTGTCAAACCACGTAGTTTATAAAGCATATACATTTTGTTTGTTGTTTAACCGTCAGTCCTCCTATTCCAATTTGATAAAATATCGAGCGTAAAAAAACTTCACGTGAAAGGTTAAAGCCATTTCATAATTTCTAAAAAAAAAAAAAACACACACACACACACACACACACACACACACACACACACACACACACACACACCACACACACACACACACACAAACACACACACACATTCTGTATTGTGATGAAAGATTGAAGCTTTTTTACACCCCAACCTCGAGTCCACTTCCTGGAACTAGCCAGTACTGGTGTGTTGCGAGGTAACAGTCGATACACCAGTAGGGCTCTAACCCAAGATCACTGGGTTGAGCGGCAGACATCACAACCACGTGACCTCCATTCTCATAGCATGCATACATGGATTAACATCCTCCGTCGACAGCTGATTCTTGTTTCCCATTTAATTAAAATTAAACATTTATCGTTATTTTAATCGTATATAACATGCACTGTTGTTTGTTATTAATATTTTACAATGCGTGTAGACATGTTAAAAATGCGAAATATGATCAACTGATAAATTAGTTGCTTCAAAGCTGATTTCTCTTTATATCTTTACATTATTAATTTCAGCAGACCATCCAGTACATTTGAAACTTGAATGATTTTCCGTAACTTTCTGTTGTTGTTTTTTTTATTTTTACTCTTTTTATTATTTATTTATTTTTTAAATACTTATTTATTTATTTATATACATTGTTTTTACTTATGTTTTGTTCAGAAATTCTTTTATTTCTTTAACTAAGTCGGGTAATATACCTAGTGAAGTTCATGTGTAGTTCACCAAAGGACACTCACTTATTAAAGAGATTTATGTAAAGGTTAGCGTCCGCGCACATGAACTAACAGTCCATTCAATATATCAGTAAAACACACTAGTCTGTATACAACGTGTGGCCTAAACTATTATTGTGATTTTGTATGTTTTTTGTTGCTTTTTGTTTGTTTGTTTTTGTTGTTGTTTTTCGTGTTTTTTTTGTTGTTGTTGTTGTCTGTTTGTTTTTTCTATGACATAAGTTGTTGGATGCTAAGTTGTATTCTATTGTCTTTCATATCAAAATCATTCAAAATCATAATTAAAACCAGGACAAGTCTGTTGTAAAATTTTACCATGGCAACGATACAAGACATCGGTGTTATTTTTGTACAGATATTTATTTACTATTTTCATAACTTTCTTAACTTGGTTTTAACATATTTATTTAAGCTCGATTGCGAAACAATTATTATTATTATTAATCACTTTCGAGTCCGCTTCATGGAACCAACCAGTACTGGTCATGAAGAGACATAGTCGTGACCCGATCAAGACTCGAACCTATTATCCCTGGGTTGAGAGGCAGACACCTAAACCACTAGGCCACCGCTCCCCTGTTCTTAACTTAGCCAACTGACGACAACAGATTCTACCTATTCGACTAGTACTGATCAAGATCAGCAGACGGTATGATCTTCGCTTTTCAGTATGTACATAGCTTAAAAAAATTCTCTAATATGATGAATGGTTTGGTCCAGAATGAAATATAGACAAGCCTATTTACAATATTGAGCGTGGTAAGGATTAAAAAAATTATATGAATATTGGTACTTTCGTAAAGAGACTTACTTATGTATCGTTTGCGCATGAAGTCGTACACAAATCCACAAAGTAAAGCTGACCCAATAGCCCCCATGGTCATATAGGAGAAGATAGCCAGCATTTGTCCAACTGTAACAAATAAAAGTGATACAAGATCAAAAACAACAACAATAATAATAATAATGATGATACTAGTATTCAATGAATCAACAGACCTGCTGAGAAGACTATATAAATGTTTTACGATTCAATGACCAGAAACAAAAATTATTAGTCATTTTTGGTAAAAATCAAACAATTGGTATTCTTAATTCTTTACCGATAAATGAAAATACTTATTTACATATGATAATAGAAATAGAATACATATCATCACCCGTTAAATATCATTAAATGATTTTATTAAGAAATTATCAAAAATTTAAAACTTTTTATAACATAAGATACCTTTGGATTCATCCCCTTCGAAAATATTTTCCAGCCATACATTAATCTGTCCAATAAAAGTAACAAATCGGAGTGCGTGGACGAAAAGCCAATATAGATGTAACATGTAGGTCACGGAGAAAACAACGGACATCAGCGACGGCTTGGGTTGTTCCATTAGTTCTTTCAAATCTACATTATCACTGATAACTGTAAAGGAAATTATCATTGATAATTGTCAAGCTAATTATCATTATCATCGATCAATGTAAAAGAAAATTATAATTGATAACTGGTAAGAAAATTATCAAAGACAACTGTAAAGTAAATTTACAAATAATTGTGGAGTAAATTATAATTTATAACTGTTAAGAATAAATAATTGATAACCTTAGTAAAATATTAACTTTTTAATCGATTTTCCAAGTATATTACCAACGAGTTCCTTTTCGTGCATTTTTAAAAGCTTTTCGTTGTTTTCTTCCTTTGGCGCTTTGTCGTTTCTGTCACGCGCCTTCTCTTGTTTGCAGCTATTCCTTCTCCTCTTTTGTTCATTAACATAGTCTTCACCAATATTCATCTTAGGTAAGAAGAAAAGCGTGCTCGTGGCAATAATGACGGCAAATAAAACGGAGATAAAAATGTATGACGTCCGCCTAGGTATGCCGCTTTCATACGCAATCTGAAAAAGAGGCAGGTCTGGTGGTGTTGTTTTTGTTTGTTTGTTTTTTTTTCCCAAGCAAAACTGTAGTATTCATAAGAAATGTTGTAAAAACAAGGCGATTTTCGGAAAATTCGTATACTTTTGTAATAACTTTGACATTTCGAAAGAAATCATAATACATGTACAACGTTAGAACTGTATAAATTTCGAACAAATGTGTTATCAAATTGTACTTACCTTCCAAAGGGACAGAAAATTGAGGAGCTGTAATGAGACTTAATTTCGGTCCCTTTATTATGTACAGTGTACTATGAAAAAGCACATTAAGTCATTCAATGCATACTTTGCAATCTGCCGTTGATGTATTAATAGTGCGTCGCAAAACTGTAACATCATTCCCATGCATCCTGTGAAATAATTGGTGATTGCCGAATGCTGGACTTATGAAACAGTAAAACTCAATGTCCCGAATATAATAAATCTTTATTCGCCCTCTGAAATTGGTAGATCCGTACCAGCATATTACATTTTCATATCCGCAATTGCTGTTCATTTGCCCTACCAACTGAGCAATTTGGCCCCTGCTGCATAATAGTTCATACTTTTAGATAATTTCTTGAACTGATATTGCATTGAAATATTTTTTCCCTTTTTTACTACTCGGTACTTTTCATACGAAAAAAAAAACGTTTTCTCGAGATTTCAGTATGATCGAAATCTTCGTTTGTTTAAAAGAAAGCCACTTACCCTGACAAGCTGCTTATTGACTGAAGAAAAGTCGAAGAGTCCTGTGAATATTGCGACAATCGTTGACCGCAAATGTGGATGAAGGTTTGACACCTAGATAAATGGAAATATTATCGATATATAAAGTAATAGACTTAAAAAACCAATACCACATCATCTAAATTAGTTTAAATTTAATCATTAGTTTCCCGGGTAATACCAAATTTTTTGTGTGGGTAGCTGAAAGACAGGGGAAAAACCAAATGTTCTTTGAAACCCCAAGTTGTCTTCCAGAAACTTTTAAACGATTGGTTGCCCCCCAATTCTCTGTTTTTTAACCTTCTAAAAAAAGACAATTTTCCAAAAATCCCCGAAAATTCCCCAAAATTTTAAAACCCTTTGGGAATGTCCCGGCCTTAAAGTTCTTGGTGAGTTTACAAAAAAAAAAATTTTTGGGTTTCCAAAAAAAAGTTTGGTTTCTTCAAAAAAAAAATTTGTATTTTTAACAAAAAAAAATTTTACTTTACCTAAAGTTTGGGAGTCCTTTAAAAAAAAAGCTTGAAAACCCAACACAAAATAGAAAAAAAACCCTTACACTTTTTTGGCCATTTAAAAAATTTTTTCATTCCAAATAAAAAATTTGGGTTTTTTAAAAATAAAGAATAGAAGTCTTAAAAATGCATTGGTCTTTTAAAAAAGCTATAGGGCCCATTAAAAAAAAAATTAATCTTTCAAGGCCTTGGGTGGCCAAAACCAAAAAAAGCATAGGGGTGGCTTAAAAAAAAAACTTTGAATTCACAATAAAATTTGTGACCTTACACAAAAAAAAGAAATAAGGCTTCCCAAAAAATGTTTAATGAGTAAACAAAAAAACGGGGGCCTTAAAAAAATTTGTTGAACCATTCACTATAAATTGGGACCATAAAAATGTTGTGTTCATTCAAAATCTATATGATCCTTAAAAAAAATAAAAAGAAATTTTTCCAAAAAAATCAAAAACCAACACGAAAAAACATCATGAGTGAGGTCCATTACACCAAAAAGAACATTATGAGTGAGTCCATTACACAAAATATGAACATATGAGCGAGTCCATTACACAAAAAATAAAGAACATATGTGTGAGTCAATAGACAAATAAAGAACATATGTATACAGTTATTTATAAAACGAGTTTTACCTGGAGATTGGTAGCAAGCATGGTTAGACCTGCGATGCCGATACAGCTCAACCCCGGTAACAGTAGCCATGGTATCTCTGCAAACAAGTAACAGTCAATTATACGAGGTTCTTTTCAAAGACATCTGCACGTGTTTAAAACCCGGCTTGAGAAATAACACGTCCAGATGCCATGACTTATAAAAATGGGGGGGGGGGGGTGGGGGGGGCAAGTCAAATACATACAGTGACAAATAACAACATATAATTATATACTTCATGTGAAATTTATGGTGGCACAGACGGGACATCGGACAATTATTTTATTACGTGCGCACGTATTAACTGTTCTACGCACACGATTTAGCTAAATGGTAAGGCCAATACGTAAAAGATAGAACGTGCACACCTAATAAATAGTTCAAGTTAAGTGAAAAAATATCTGATGTTCCATTTGTGCCACCGTAAAGATGAGTAATTTATGTTGCATGCATGCTTAATAAAGGCGTTTTTAACAGTGTCAAGAAGAAAAAATGTTCATTAGTTCTAAGATTTTTTATAAGTTTTGCATGATTAACTAATAAGTTATCTGTCCCTGAAAGTTAGTTAGTAACGCTTTTTAACTTTCAAAAATGTGATTAAAAGTTCTCATTAAGATGACATGTAGCATATTTGGGAATCGTTAAAGTGTATTTATCGCCAGCACGGTAGAAATTAACATGGAATTACCGTGCAGGAATGATTAGGTTTGACTATGGTAACTGAAAACAATATGATTCAATTAATCAAATGCATGCTGGTGTGAACATGTTAAAATGTTTGTGATCTTTTCTGTTTAAATAAAGTTGAAATAATAAAGTTACAATCTTCTTCAAAGCCATTCATTTCGCATATACATCCGCACGTTTAACCGTTACCCTGCTGATAGACCTAGCCTTTGCCAACAATATAAGCAGGCCAGATCTGAACATCCATGCAATCTGACCAGCCCCTATATTTTGGCTCAATTACTTAAAGGCACATTATGCCTCAGAAATCTTTAAAACAATTAAATTCTTTAGAAATGCCAAACATGTGTTCAAGAGTGATTTAATACTGGAAATAGATCATGTAAGATGTTTCAACAACTGAAAAAAATAGTAGGGGTGTGTCATAAACAAAGAAGTATTTTGACTTCCGTACAAAATACTTATTAACTTTAATTATATCAATTGTAAACAAGTAAAGGAAGCATAAAATAGTGCATCTGTATGGCAAATGAGTAATGTTTTAAGATACTGTAAAAGAATACAAAAAATAAAGATTTTTGTGAAATAAAGATGATAGCATTTCTGAAGCATAATAGGCCTTTAAAATATACTTCAGGATGAGCCCGAAATTGACAGAGGACATGTCACGGATCGACCACATGACAGACAGTTCCAAAATCTGAAACTGAATAAGTCCATTTCACACTGTCAGAATGTCAAGGGTCATATCCTTACATCGCTTTATTTATATAATGCTCTTATCCTACTTCAAAGTTGGAACTTGCTGTTTAAGTTTAAGGGGTTCCAATGAAACAGTATGAGGAGAATGTGCCTCTGTGCAGGCTGGCTTGGTCGAATACTGGCTCTACGACCGTCGGAAATATGGGAAATGAATGGCTTCTTCTTATATTTTTGTACAAAGATAATGATGTTAGTTAGGTTGTATGGCAAAAGCAATTACGTAATGAAATATTTTTTTCTCGCAGTTTCCAGATAGTTGTAACATTTGCCTTTGATTGTTGAATTGTTTAAGAAAAAACTTGCTGTCATGATCAAAGATAGCCGCATTGTATAGTGTATATGTATATACGTAAAAAATGTATTGATGTGTAATATTAAGTCCTCAAACCGTTTGGTAAGTGAAGTACAAAGAACACTATCGAAGAAGGTAAAAGAAAGGTTGAAGGTAAAAAAACAGGGTTGAAGGAGACTAAATGTGTCTCAAATTATAAAACCCCTTCTGGGAAAAAAAGTCATCACCGTCGAAAATCATGCCCGAAATAAACACAAATTAATGTAATCTTGACAACTTAGCCGCGGAAGTCTCTAAATTTTCGGGGAGAAAAAAAAATCAATCAATATGGCCTTTTGATCATGACCGCAAAATATATTGGAATACAACAAAGACATGTTACAAAATACAACAAAATATCCTGCGCTTTCCATATCTGAAAGTGATAATTTCTTTAATAATACATTTAACATTTAAAGGCAAATAAAATCTTTAAAAATGGTCGGACTGAAAAACTATACCGAGCGTTTAATATAAATACAATTATAATTATGATAAGTAAAAATAGAACTTCAAATAATGAAATCAACATAAATTTAAAATACAGAACAACCCTCCACCTTCGACCATTTTCAAGACTTCATTTGGCTTTTTGGTAAATGTATGCATGTATATATAGAAATTGAATGAAGGTCTTCAAACAAATGACGTATTTATGTTCTGAAATACAGCAAAGAGATGAAATAAACGAAACTGTTTTACCTGGACTTGTAAACGCCAAACATAGAGTTCCAATCAAGTAAATAAAGCTGTTTAAAGAGAATAAATAAAAGATCTATCTATTAATAATAGTGTTTCAAAACAATGTAATGAAAATCACCACTGGTACAATAGCTTTACTGCAAACATTATAATACATTGTTCCAAATCATATTATTCTTCTCAACCCGCCAATTTTTACAAAGATTACATACTGAAGCATAGGCTGAAGATCAAAACTGGACATACGAACCTTGGACGTACGAAGGAATCCATTTAAGCATGAAAAATGTCCAATTTTAGTATTTAAAAAAAACGTTTGCATAATTGAAACTGACAAAAAAATCGATTTGTAGCTCACTTGGAAAATGCGCTTTGCATTCTCAGATCGAACATTTTACCACATAGATCTTTTCATATTGTAAATATATCCCAATGTGTGTCCATGGTCCGATGTAACATAACAATCTGTGTGCTAGAGCAGCCTCTCAAATACTGCATACAAACAGGACTTGTAACGAAATCACAACGAAAGGGACCTGCACCGTCAGGGAAACAAACTCGGGACGCCGGATTCACAGTCAAACGCTCTACTTCTTGAACTAACCGGGAGGCTCATACCAAAGTACATACACGTAACACGTAACGGACTATATAAGAGCAGATCTTTACCGGACTGTACAAGTGCATTTAATGTTACCGGACTGAATGAGAGACGCTATCGGACTACGCCAAGGCAGTACATGTAACCGGCTTATATAAGAACAATTACCAAACTAAGCAACTTCTCTAACATGCTTTGAAATAAATCGTACAATACAGTGAGTTCATTCGAACTACTTCAAACAATACAATAAACAAGCATTGTGGCATTTATTTAGCATCCTTCAGAAGGGATATACGTAAAGAACTTATTTTAAGTTCCCTGTCATGAAATTTTAAAATACTTACAGAAAATAATAGTTAACGAGATATTTTTTTTTAATTTAACATATGTAAATTCATTCACTCTTGTTTTTATTAGTTTTCTCTGCATTACTATCCAATAGTTTCAAAGGTTAGTTGCCTAAAGAGAGACAAACAAAAAGGAAAAAAACATGCATCAACATGTAAAACATATACTCACAAGAATATTGCACGTGTATATCTCGTGCCAATGTGCCTGATCAAATATCCTATTCCGGCAAATGACAGGTACATGAAACTGACAGAAATAGAAAACCAGAGGTTCAACTTTGACTCCTGCTCCGGACAACCTCTCAACATTCCGTCTGCGTTTCTTCCCCGGAACGCGCTCGTGCTGTTATTTCCGTCGAGGAACGTGTAGGATGGTTTGTCGATTGAAGAGTTAGAAACTGTGACAGAAGTTAATGTTTCGGACAATACTATATTAGAGTTATTGCCCGTTTCTTCGTGTGTGCAATAATCTAAATAGAACCCTTCCTCTTTGAGAATAAACACCAGAGATCCCCATCCAAATATAACACCCCCAAATAACACCACCTCCATGAACGCCCATACTGTACAAAACACAGGGTACTTCCGGTAAAGTTCCAACATTTTTTTGTCAATTCTTATAAAACTGTTTAAACAAGAATGTTATCGCTCAATATCTGAAAAATAAAACAAAGCACTGTACAAACAAAGTATAAACTCAACATAAATTATATTAATAATATACATTTTGTATATATCTTAAGTAATTTCTATGACAGATTTCGGCCGAAAATCGTCCCCATTCCCCTTTCCAATAAGTATAATTTTTGCCCCTTTTCTGAACTTCAACCAGCAATGGTTTGAAAGACCTGGTCTTGATCTTAGATCAAAAGGGTTATAACTGAGGTTATGGGGCTTGAACAATAACGTCCAATTATTATGATCTCTAAATCACTTGTGTTGATCCCTAGTGTATTCTTAACATGGTTATGTCTTTGAAAAATCAAATAACCAAATACACCGCTGTATAATATTCAATTAGTTCCCGTGTTTCCCGGACGTTTAAACTTCCCGCCAACTTCGCCATAGTATTTTTTACGTGTATCGAATAAAACGATCTAGATAAACAGTAAACACATGTCTTATTATCCGCTTTTATAAGTCTACATTACAAAATCGATTAAGGAAGGCTTAAACTGCATATATACACTACGTAAATACGAATTCGTGTAATCGTTAAGGTTGTTCACACAACAAAATAAGCATAATAAAGAATAACGATGTTTTTTTCTGTTGAGCGGTCTGGTACTGGTTTCAGGCGGTTCTGATATTGTTGTTTATTCCAATATCGCAATGTGAAAAACACATCCGTGCATTAATATTAAAAAAAACAATAATGCTGTTTATATAAATTATATATAAAATATGCAGCTATATATACTTACCTTAAGACGAGTTTAAAACAGAAAATCCATTCACAAATCAATTAAATCAAATCAATTAAACCACGGTTTTAAATTAAATGTAATACAAACATAATATTTATATTTAGTCTTAATGTATTAAGCAATACGAAGCGTTGTTAAACTGCCATATATAATTATCAACGATGCAGATTTTGGGTTAAAATTAAAAACTAAAATAAATCTTTAAATTTCCCCATCAAGGGCATCGTCTTACTTTTATTATCACAAAAATTTAAATTATCCCCCACCTCCCTCGGGAAAACTTTTATAACTCCGCGGGAATTAATGTATATTTTAGTTAAAAGTGATGCGCACGTTTTCTTTGTAAATTTTTTATGTGAAAATGTTATGTTGGTTAAAATTTTATTTTTTTAAAAATTATTATTTAATAAGTTCGTGTTATGCTAAAATTAATTGGGATTTTTATATGTGTATTTTAATTTTCATTAAATAGAATGGTGAAATTTTGAATTTTGTTTTAATGAAATCTAATTTAATTAAATTAAATAATCATTTAATTAGAGTTAGAATTTTCATTTTTTTTATTTTACACAAAACTAAATTTTACGCGTCACCATTATGATATGAATAATAATAATTAATGATAAATGCACAATACAATTTTCAGTTAATTACTAATTAATTAAGTGTATTTAAGAAGTTTATTAATAACTTATTTGCGCAACAGTGCAATTACCGATAAAAGCTTGTTGCGCATGCACTAAACTTTGTGCCAACTATATATTTACTTCGGATAGGTATTTTTTACTAAAAACCCGTTTGTTTTGTTTAAATTACTGTGTTTATAATTACATGCGTAGCAATTGAATCTGTTGTTGTTGTTGTTGTTGTTGTCAGTCACTGTGAATACCTTTCATCCTCTTGTTATGAAAGACTAAGTGAGTCAAAACACAAACTTTTAGTAGCTATAAAAGGCTTCTGTAAAATTGTGAAATACAGTTCTTCGATTTGACCTTTAAATATTTAATGCCGGCGATGAGACTTAAAAAGCTCCAGATAATTATTTTGGCCCGTTGCCTTTGTTTCCCTTAATATGAATCAATCCGGTGCACTAAATAATTTACACGGTTGTCATTAAAATACGTACTACAACTTAATTATTAAAAAAAAACGTTTTACTAAAACCATTAAATCATCGCGGAATGATTATTTCTATAAAATGATCATGAAATACCTGAAAAAATGATAGAAAATAAGGACTTTTTGGCAATTTTATGCTAGTGTTTGAATTACTAGCTACTAGGCCTACTTCACTGACAAGTGAAATTTGTTTTTTCGATTCCAACTGATTGAAGACCGTTAAAATACCTTATAGAGTTGTATATGAATTCCTTAAACATTGCATTGTTCCGTGCAAATAGATATTCAAAGACTAAAAGATGTAAATGTGTTTATTTTTTATATTTTCTTACTTTGTCAAGCTAAAAATCCACTTTTATCTTAATCAATCCTGTGCCATAAATCCAAATCAGTTCAGGAACGGGGACTATATAATTCCAAATCAGCCCGAAACGATTACGCACCGTGTTGTAGTAAAACTGTTTGCAAAACTATTTCCTTTTTTTATTTCATGATGATCAATTATTAATTTTATATTGTAGTATATGTCATTATTACAGCAATTGGACCTCGATATCATTCAAATAAGCTTTTAGCTTAAAGGACAATCATAAAGTAGCATAATTTAAACATATTTCATGATGGATATAATTATAAATTCTAGTTTTGTTTAATGTTTGGATACCTCATTCAGGACCTTAAGGAGTGTCAGTTTTTGCTTCCATGAATATTTTAACCTGTAAAATGTACATATTTTTTGTCCCAGGTGTAACGTACGTATAAAGTCTTAGAATCGAACTTAGTTTAGACGAATCAATATTTTAAAAAAACACAAAGATAATTAAGTTATATTACAAAAAGTAATTGATTAAGTGTCGGAGTTATCTCTCTAAGTCGTTTCAGTCGTTATCATATGTATGACAGAACTCTTCACTTTTAAAGACAAATGGAAATTGTGTGTTTTGTACATATATGTACGTATGACCAATTATTCTTAGCATTATTTATTGTTTTATATTCTTCCTATCATTTATGTTTAAATTATCAGTTTTACAGGACTGTGTATCAATAATCATGATCAATGTATTCATAAAATGATATAAAGATTATTAGGCCCCTAATGATAATTTAATGGTGCGCAAACGTTCAATTAATCAATGTTTACATTTAAGAGATACAAATATATATAATATCTTAAATTATTAGCAATCTATACATCATTTCATGAATGAATTGAACATAAAAAATATACACTATCTTGTAAAATCATTGCCGGTTGCACTAAAAAAAGGGGGGAAAATCTCCTTTATGTATTTTAGTCATACCCTTAGGTACGTTCTGGCTTGGGACGGTAAGGACTAAACTCTCTAAACTAAAATCTATATAAATATTTTATTTTATCAAACAGGTAAAGTATTTCCGGATAATTTCATATAAGAGCAATACTATTTTTTATTATTAAAGTTAGATATTTTTCATAATTTAAGAAATTTTAATAATTTTCAGGATATCAGAGATTAAAAACTCAAGCGTAGTATCCGGAGAGACAAGGTCGGAAACGGGAGTTAGGTCGGAATTTTCCCTGCGAAAATGAACGTCTTGAAATCAATAAAATCACTCATTCCGAGCTCCTTACCCAAAAACTTCCGGAGCATCATTGGATTCCCGGGTCTAACGCTTAAATCATGTAAAGAGCACGTTTCTGTAAGCATACAATTTTGTTTCACTTTAAATATGTGGGAGGGGTGTGAAGAAAATAAATATAGCTCACATATTCAGTGTCTATTCTAGGAATTGAAAAATAGGGGTGATTTTCCCCCCTCTATTTCAAAAAGGGGGCGATTTTCAAAATCAAAGGGCGCCAATATAAACTGCCAATGTTAAATCGTCTGCATTAAGTTTACACTGAGGCGTTCAACCGATGAAATAATTATTTAAAACGATAATATTAATTTAAGGCAGCAGAAGTTGTCCCCCCTGAATTTTTAAACAAAACAAATTATTACAGAACTGCCGCGATTGATTATAAAGGGATTGGCAATACAAATAATCGAACTATCTTTCACGTCTAGATCGTAGCCAAGCTAGGAATTGCCTCATTTTTCTTGATTATTTACTACACTAAAATGGCGCCCAACTGTCAGACCTTAAAGCACACTAGTTCCGGTCGATACGGAACATTCCGTTAATTTCCGTCAACTCACGTAACCAGTACCATACGGTACTAAATTATTATAATTAGCTTACAGTAACCTCCCTTCGGTTCTCGGTGTAAATGTAAACAAAACAACCAAATATAATGCGGGATGGAAGTTTTACGGTTTTATTAACTTTTTTTATAGATGCGCGATTTTCACGCACATGATTTTGAATTGTGCACGATCTGTTAAATACTAGCGTGAATCGCGCAATCGCGCGTCCTAGAATAGACACTGCATATTGGTGTGTTCCTGCTAGACTTGAATTTATGGGGTCATTCCTGACATTGTACAAAGACAGATGGCCTTTAATAAGTAGTATAATTTCAAATTGATGTAAAATAGCAGCTTGCTAAATTGAACCTGAAACACTGCCCTGAATCTATCAAATTATATGATTGCGATACGATTTCGAGACATTTCGGGCCCAAGACGCATTGGCCCCATATTACCCAAGACATTTCGGCCCCGGACGTTTCGGCCCTTTATCAAATGGGCCCCATATTTAGTAAAGAATAAGTCTTACCTTATCGTGTTTTATACCAGCATTTTAATTGCATATAAATAAATGAAAGAATAAAAGAAATGAGAGAATTAATTGAATAATTAAAGTATGATTTTAAATTGAATGAGGCTAAATTGTAGTAATCAAACAAACAGAACAGAACATAAACTATATAAAACAAAACATACTACACACAAACACTGAAACTGCTTATTATCAAGAAGTTTCTTTTTTCAAATTTGAACGATTAAAAAGCAAGACACAGAACAATACAAACATTTATTATCAACAACAATTAAATTAATAGTAAGTGACGAGTCTTAGCAATACAATACAACACATAACACCTAACAGTATAAAACAAACAATACTTTGTAAACAGACATTTTTTTATATAAAAAACAAACACTTTTTTCAATGAAAGTGATAGATTTTCAATCAGAGCATATATTAAAAAGAAAATATATCAAATCATAAGTTTAAAAAATCTTTGATATTACTTACGGCTAATTAGCAATACGCTATAAATAAGTAATTTGTTAAACCTTGAAAAAAAAAACATATATCTAAAGTGTTATCTAAATAATTAATAGAGATCAAAAGAAAATGATTTTTTAAGTATATTTGTAATTAATTTTGATAATCAAAAGTTTTTGCATTTGTCAACTGTCTTATAAGTTAAAGAATAAGTGTCTTTATTTAGGTGTATTTATTGTTACACCTTTGAAAAAAAGCATTTATCTAAATAGCAATTGATAGATCTATAACGGATTATCAATTTAGGATTGAAATGTCGTAATTGTTTGTGTGCCATCAATCAATCAATATTCTACAATTTTTAACGATTTTAAGTATAAAAATTCCTTTTATACTTAAATAAAACTGTTATAAAAAAGGGCCGAAAAGTCTCGCGGAAAAGGGCCGAAATGTCTAGGGGCCGTTTTTTGCACAGGGGCCGATTTGGTTTGGGGCCAAAACGTACTGTTTGCATCAATATTGATGATAATATCCAAAATATACCCCCTATACAGTATAAATAATCACAAGGAATGAAACGCTTTTCCCCATCCAAACATAATTTACGCCGAACAAATCAACAAATCAAAATAATCTCTATCGGGCCATCTCGATAAACAATACACAAATGCATCAAAAACCACCGATAACTTTTTTCAATCGTAAGCTATGTAGGAGTAATTCAACATTTTCTGATTATTTCCTGCGATCTGAGTTTGTCGCCGACTCCATTTCGTGACGTCTCTGGATTTTGTTTATATTTTGGATATTATCATTAATATTGATAGAATTTAAGTTCCTATGCCTGAATCTTGTAGCAAAACAGCATTCCTGTCTGTGGTACGCTCTACCTTGGGGTACAGTTTGATCTTCTGAGACCCATACCTCCAGAGAGACATTTAAAAGCTTGAGAAGGTCCAGAAACAGTCCGCTAGGATTATCACAGGCAACTACACCACCAGGTCCCCAGGGTGGGTCACACAAATGCTTAGAGACCTGAAAGTACTTTCACTCCAGGACCAAAGTAAAGCCAACAGACTGACAATGATTTATAAGGTGGTCGGAGGCCTTGACTACTGGACGCCTGTCCAAGTAAAATTATCGAGGAGCAGACTTCCCGAAAGTTAAAAAAACATTCTGTCTGACAAACCATGAAAATCTGTCGGACCGAAATGAAATCTGTCAGACGGAATGAAATTAATCAAAATCAAAGGAAACCTTGTGTTTGTATTTCTAATACACTTGTCGGTTTTAATTTTTTCACCGTGAAAATCGGCACAGTCCGTACAGCTCATTTTCACATACTCCCTGTCGTACACCAAAGATTCACGGTCCTGCTTCCATTTTTCATTAAATTTTCTCTTAGGTCTATTCTTTTCATCCTTTTACTGCTGTTCTGCGCACTCCTCTAACATAGATTTTCGTTTTTTGCCAGGTTTGGCACCTTTAGCAATGCCATTTTGTATACATGTGACTTGGATAAAAGCCGGACAGTCATAAAAAATCCTCGTACCTAATCAAAATTTATCGGACATGTCCGTCGGACTGACGTATTTTGGGAAGTCTGGCAGCGTGAAAGCATATTTTTTTTGAGAATTGTGCAAGAAAACATTCTTGAAAACCAGATAATAAATCACTTTAAATGCTTTCAGTTTAAACTGAGCAATGTAAAACTTCATGTTATAACCAATCATTTTTCCCCACAAAAATTTTTGATTGGAATAAATTACATGATAGTGTTGCGCAAGTTAGATAAAAAGTTGTATTCCATTTGGACCAAGTCCTCTCTCCCTTTGCTTATATGCTGAAAGGCCCTGCAAAGTACCATCCAGATCCAGATTGTTAAACTGATATTATATTAAGGCAGTGGCCTGCAATAGTATATGAATATAAGCCTACATGCATATTGCAAGCTATGATATCACAGTACTTAATGTTTATCAGAAAATATGTGAATTCATGAGATTCTTCTTCTGTTAAATTAATGATGTTCTTTAAAACTGTCTAAAACAATGTTTCAAAAGATCCAATTAAAACCAATTAAAATGTTGTTTTTTTTTTTTTTTACTTTTCACATTTTCCACCATGTTAGCTCAGGGCTTCCCTTAATGGAGATTTGGGAGTCATTTACTCCTTGATTTTGAATAACAGTATTCTTACCAGGAATTAATTCATTATTCACAGAATTAAAAGGTAAACTCTTAAAATTTCTCTTGTCTTTGGTATCAGAATATCATTTCAATTTTCGAGACTTAAAATTGAATGTGATCTTCTAATAAATATTCTAATCCCTATATATTATTCAGACCCTTGTTTTACTATTAAGCTGCACTGAGAATAGTCAATGGGAGCTACTGTCCTACTGGCAGCTGCTATTTTTATTTGCAATTGCTTATTGATCAATGTTTATTTACAGGTGTTGCCAGTGCACTTTTTCACCATTGGTGGTGGTGTTGTTTGTGCTCTATATCTGTTGACGATGGCGTCTTACAAGGACACAAGGTGTGTATAAATATGGATTTATTTTTAGCAATATTGAACAACCCATGACTTTTACATTGGGAAATTTTACTTTCAATCCTTGGTAAGGGTTAGTAGTAAATTAGAAGAGATTCGAAAATGAGCCGCGCCATGACAAAACCAACATAGTGGGTTTGCGGCCAGCATGGATCCAGACAAGCCTGCACATCCACACAGTCAGATCAGGATCCATGCTGTTTGCTATCAGTTTCTCTACTTGTAATGGGTGTGTAAGTGAACATCATGGATCCTGATCAGACTGCGTGGATGTTCAGGCTGGTCTGGATCCATGCTGGTCCCAAACGCACTAAGTTGGTTTTGTCATGGCACAGCTCATTTAATGTTCTTTCTACTATTCGTTGTAGGTAGGAAATGGCTTTTTAGCTCAACTATTCCAAGAAAAGGGAGAGATGTTGTACTCAACCTAGAGTTGGCACCACACATTGGTTAAGTTTTTGCATACAAGATGGTATCCCCAAAACTACTGAATGGAATTGGTTGTAACTTCACACACTTGTTCCTTGTTATTTAAATCTAACATGATAGGCACATATCCCATAACTCTGATATACCGTTTACAGAATTTAGCCCCTTTTCTTATTGTCGAGTACTAAGAATAGTCAAGTGTGAGTGGTTACAGAGAGGGTTTATCAATATGGTATGGTTTGAGTCTAATAATGCAAATAACCATTATAATTAGTGGGGCACAAAAAGGTCTTATCAACAGAATTAAGATCCAAGGAAATTTCATTTTATCTGCTTATTTTGCTTTTTACTTTCTTTTTTTTTTTGAAAAAATAGACAACAATCTTAAGAACCCTCAAAAATGTCTTTTGTGAGAAAACCAAGAAATTTCATGACCAGAAAATGAAGTGATATGTTCACTGTGTTATGTTTACTTTTCAGTTTATCCCAGTATTCACAAGCAGATATTTCGCCCAGTGATAAAGCTCCTGTGAGTATGTTTAATTTATACAGCAGCGAAAAAGTTTGTTTAAGTTGATTGGTCTACAATGGTCTACAATGAACATATTTTATATCAGTATTTGATATATTAATAAAAAACAATAGAAATAAAATTGTGTCTTTTAAATATTATTATAAATATAAAACTATTTGAAGGGAAAAAATTGTCTATACAGTTCTAAATAATTTAGTATAAACAATCATATGATGAAAAGTAATACTTTTGTTCTAGAAACAATTTAATGTTTGGTACATTGTTTATACTGGTATGTTACATAAGAGCTGTCATCTAGAGACAATATATTTTTATGCCGATCAATAATAGATACACTTTTGAAAAAATTGATTATTTTGATTAATTATTCTATGTCTATGAATGATGATTATTCACCCAAAACAAATACAAAAGTAGGTGGCCATGTCTAACACTAGGCTATTGTTACATAATTGACACATTCATAGCAGTGATGACAAAAAGTGGTTAAGAAAATAATCTTGCAAAGGACATTTATAAACAGGACACAACATATTTGTATGAACAGAACATATATTTTACTCAAATTATTTATCAGGTATGGAGGCGAATTATATACAAGAAATTAGGAGTATATATCGATATATTGCTGATATTTTTTCATCTGATATTGATGTATCTTCAATATGCTTTGTAATGAATCAATGATGGCTCTATGTTACATGTATATTAGACCATGTATCTAACACCTACCAATAACATCCAAATATAATTCTATGGTAATGTGTTTTCATCAATAATATTAAATACTGTCATTTAAGGGGAGCGGTGGCCTAGTGGTTAAGGTGTCTGCCTCTCAACCCAGAGATCAAGGGTTCGAGCCCTACTTGATTCACGACCATGTTTCTTCATATGACACCAGTACTGGTTGATTCCAGGAAGCAGACTTGAAAATGATTAATATAAGTTGCAAGCACTTGTTTCGCAATTGAGCTTAAATATGTTTAAACCAAATACTATCTGCAAATATGTAAGGTCAAATATAAAATTCAAATAATGATTTGTTCAAGACTGTTATATTTTCTAGCAGTGTTCTTTACTGTCAATGTATTTGAACTTAGAAGTAAGGAAAAGTCGGGCTGGCAGTGCCTCATGTTATGATGATGTTCGGATTGTTGAATATTATGCTACATGTTTCCTTTGATAATCAGAGTAGTCAAAATTTTATATGGTTTTGGAAGCTTTTATATGATGAATTGGTGTATTTTGTCTAACTTTTTCGTTTATTTTCTTTCTTTAAAATTTATTTCAGATATACATTTCCCCAACACGAACTGACTTACAAGGACAGAAAATGCCTGAAGCTAAACCAAAACTGTTGGAGGAATAGATAGTGAAGATTATGAGTGCTTTTGGTTGTTTATTTTTATTTTTCTCAACTCAAAATTAAACCGGTACATAAAGACTTTTCAAGACTGATATTCTATGATAAATATTACCTCATGTTATATTTTGGCATTGACATGAATTTATCTTTTTGAGTTTTATTTTGTTTGAAACAGCTTAAAATTAGGATTTGAATGTGTGAAAGTTAATAGAACAACATTTATAAGATTTTTGAAAGGTTTTGTCGAACTTGTTGAAAACAGACTTGATAAATAAATATATGTAAAAATCTTGTCTTCTGTTATTTTTGCTACATGTTTTTAATAACTTTTATAGCCATTCATGATTGATAAACTCATTTGCTTATATAGACTTAAAGGGCCTCCACAAACTCCATTTTTGTGTCGCCTCTACAGAGTAGGGACAGCATTTAGGGATCACTTCTCTGTCATCTTGTATGTCCGTCTGACCATCACAAAACTTGTCTGGACTACTCCTCAGAAACTATTTGTACAATGTCATCAAAACTTGACAGGAGTAATCAGTATGAAGTCTAGTTGTGCATATCATCAGCATTTTCTGATTAAATGATTTTTTTAGAGTTATGGCCCTTCAATGACTTATCTCACCTGTCACAAAGTGGTACGCTGAGATTTTGAGATCGCTTTTTGTCCGGCGTCCGGCTGTAAACTTTTAAACGACATCTAATAAACCGCTGAGCATTTCATCCAAACTTCAAAGGAATGTTTGGTGGTCACCTTTAAAAATTATTAAAAAAAATTTATTCCATGCAAAACTGGTTGCCATGGCAACCAAAAGAAAAAAACTTAAAATTTCTTCTTTTGAGAAACGCAAAGAGCTATAAATTAGATATTTGGCATTAAACATCTTCCAGTGAGTGTCTACCAAGTTTGAATAATAAAGTCTGAAATAAAAGCCCTGGGGTCATATTGGCCCCGCCCCAGGGAGTCATTGATTTTCCTTATATTTCTATATTAAAAACTTCAAAAGTCTTCTTTAAAAAAAACCCAAAAGCTAGAGCTTAGATATCAAGATTCAGTACCATCCCTAATTGTACAAATCACGGCATGTTCCTCTTTGCTGCACAAAATGGTCGTTAGAGCTATAAATAGAAAAATCTTGTCCGGCTTTCACAGGTCAAGCTACTGGGGTGATTTCAATGAAACTTCACATGAGTGACCATACATAGTTTTTGGAGACATATGTTTTTGTGACACAAACACTCTAGTTATTTATGATTTTTTATTATATTTGTTAAACTTTTATGCATACAAATCACCCATTGTACGACTGTATACATTGAAATTATGAAACGTTACATAATTATACATCTATATGTCAAAGTTATGACATCTTTAAATTAAAGAAATGATTCATCCACTAATGACGCATATAGTTAAAAATAAAGAAAAAGTGCAACTTCCCAGTTGCAATGCTATCAAACCATTAAGGCCATCAGGACGTTAGTATAAAACTTTGGTGAGGTCACTTGATTACTGATGGACATTTTCTCGCCCACACACATACTGATATAGCTTTTCTGGTAGCCTTTTTATTTGGGTAAAATATATAATGTCATGAAAGTATATATGTATAGCAGTAAGAGAAATTGTTGTAAATGAGACTGTGAAAGTTGTGTAATATTTTATTCAAGTGATACATTAAAAACCTTTATTTGACTACTTTGATTCATTCCCACAAATAATCTCTTGGTATTCTGGCAGTATGCAATGCTTGCTGGTGTATCTGTGCCATGTCTATTATCTATCAGTATCTTCACTTTTGTGAGATCACGAGATAATTGATAGACATTCTTTGATTCACAACAACCCATATTCATCAACAGCAAGTTGGTTAGGATTTTTCAGTTGATCATCTTTGTAGACTGCCTTCACCTTACCATCAAAGGTCAAACAGGTCTCCGTGTGTCTGTTTAAACTCCCCAGCAGTCATTATTATGCTGCTGACCGTTCCAAGGCGGCGCCCCACTGTGTTCCTCAGATGTATATCTATGTTGTTTCATACTGTTTTGGTGACACTTTTGCTTGTGTCCCTTGTTGTTTTCTCGTCTACGGTAAGTATCTTCCCCATTGCCTCTAGTTTTTTATTTCTTTGATTAACCCCCCCCCCCCCTTCCCCCCGGTCTCCTGTCCCCTTCCCTCTGTGTGGCCTATTATTTTTTTTTTTTGAATTCCTAATCAGTTACAAATTATTTATCATTTATTGATTAACGTGTCATTGCCCTGTCCTTTTTATGTTTGGGGTCCGCCTGGGCTCCTTGCCATTGGTTCTTGTTGCTGGGTCATTTGGGGGTTGCGTTCATTGAACGCCGCCTTTCCTTGTTGATCTTGTTTTTCATATTTTTTACCATCAGAGACATATATCATAGAATTGTCAGGACTAACAGTCAAGTAATGAGAATTGGTAAACAGATTCTGACCATCGTCATCTTTCCCAAATGATTTCACTATTTCACCTTAACCTTAATTGTACTTTTAAAGGATTTGTAATATGAAACAACAAGATGGTTATAACTGTTAGCAATACCAAAACAACGACCATTTCCTGGTATCTCAGTGATATCTAAAACTTCCCTTTCCTCAGAAAATGTAATCAGTCTGATCTTTTGTTCTATTGGAAATGTGACAGCAACTGTATGATCTGAAACCTTTGCTATTCCCCAAAGAATGGTTTTAAATTTTATTGCTTTTATACACTTTGCATTTGACTTTTCAAGTGTTAATATGACAAGGCTTGAATTTTTCCAATCTGATGCAAGAAGTGTATGTTCCGATAGAAGAAGTAAAGAAACTATACTTTCAAAATCAAGATTGATATCAAAATTAACGGCAATCTTTTTCTCAATAGCTGATACATGTACTTTATCAAACGAGAAAAACCTTGTTTGATCCTCAAGAGATTGTGTTGTTGGTTGAATGCCAGATTCTTTTAGTCTGTAGCGTTGTATGTTGGAGTGTTTAATATGGTCAGTGGTAACTTGAATGTGTTCACACATTTGTTTCGCTAACTTCAGTTTTATAAACAGTTTACAGTTTTTACCTAATTTTTGAGCCTGTTCTAGATCAACAGTAAGAGCCTTGAAATTTCCAACCAAATTCAAATGTTCGGACATGAGTATTTTTAAGTTTGTGTTTCTGTTAATAACCTCCTCTTTTATATCTGTTTCAGCTTTTCTTACTTTTTCTTCAAATTTTCTTTCCTTTTCAGACAACTTTTGAATTAGTTCTAACCTTTCTTTCTTCAACCTAGCAATTGTCTCTTCCATTTTCTTATCATAATCATCAATTAGATCTTGATGATGTTGTTTGTAAGTTGCTATCAGTTTGTTGCTATGCCCTTTACATGCTTCAGTTGCATTTTTCTCTTATTTCTTAATCACTTCACTTTTGGCATCCAACATCTTTTCTGTGTCTTTTATATTCATTGACAATTGATCCATGTTTTTTCTTAGATTTATTAGTTTGTCACTTTTTTGTATGTCTGAAGCAAGGGTTGGTAAATGGCTAACATCACTGCATTTCACATGCTCATTATCCTTGCATTCTTGGCAAGCTTCTTTGTTACACTCAGAGCAGTAAAACTTGATCAGCTGCCCAGGATGAATAGAACATTTCTCAAAATAAAAATCCTGAGGCATACTGTAACTGTCTTTGATTCTGTGAGTTTTAAATTGTCTCTTATGATATCTCTGACAGGTCACACATATATAATCTAAACAATCTACACAAAAAGCTACAGCTGTAGCATAACCATCACCATGTCGGTCACATTCCTCACAATACATTTCTGTAACTTCCTCAGAGTCTTGTGTTAGTGATCCACTGAAGTTAGTAGTCATTTTATCCTTTCATGCGAACACTTTAACTTGGTTAATTTAGAAGATTGTATTGATTGAAAATGAGAATGCTTTCAATGTCATTCTCAGTATTATAAAATCCGTTTTAACAAAATAATTAATGTGTTTGGTAGATCAATAGTTCATATTCAGTGCTGGTTTATGTAAATACTGATTACAGCATGAACAGTTATATATCAGCATATCAGGTGTTTAAAATTACAATGACCTAACTTGGTATGTTGAAAGAATCAGATACGGCATTGTTGCTTTCCATAATCTATGCTTGATAAGAGGTTGAGAACAAAACATGTATTGTGTCATGTGACGTACTGATAAGACCTTATAAATCAGTTTGATAACGCTTAATGTTTGTGTTCTTGTTCAAATTTAGTTCTTCCTTATAGTGAAAAAGCTATGATATTACTTTTTAAGAAGACTTATTTATGCCTCCGACATATAGTAATTGAACCGTCCGTCCGTCTGTCTATCTATACGAGATTAACCTAAAATGGCAAGTTGGATGTTTCTCACGTTCTAACTATACCATTTGCTTCATACTTTACAAACTTAGTAATCAACACAAAGTATATGATCTGGGCAAGTTAGATAACTATGGTTTTCATTTTTACAAATTTTTACCAAGTTATTGCCTTTTTAGCACTAAGAAAATGAATAATTGGTTAACTTTAAACGGCAAGTTAGATATATCTTAAATTCTGTCTATACAAATGCCTTCATAATTACCACACTCACTTATCAATACAATGTACATGATATTGCCACGTCATATAACTGTGCCATACATTTTTCCCAGTTATTTCCATTTATATCACTTTGAAAATAGGGCCTTGTCTGGTTAACCTATACTGGCAAGTTTAAATTTATTGTTAGCTTAGGCCACCATGACTTTCTTGTTATGTCATGTAAACACTGGTTAAATTACATTACATTGTCTATAGTATATACTAAACATACTAAACAAGGTCAACCTTTATTTATGGACAGATGTCTTTTATATTTGGTAGGAAAATAACTTGCTTGGTGTTCTGCCTTTGGATGTTAGGAGTTAGGGGTCAGTTGGGTAAAGGTCACCAATGCTAAAAATAGCTTTTTACACTTTTGCAGAAACAACCTTTATTTATTGACAGATGCATGTGATATTTGGTAGGAGGATATCTTACATGATACTCTTCCTTTTGATTGAGATAGGGGTCAGTGCGTCAAGGTCAAGGATGTCAAAAATAGATTTCTACATGGTTACTTATACAGTCTTTACTTTTTGATAGTTGTTTGTTATATTTGGTAGGATGATAATTTGCATGGTCTTCTTCCTTTTGATTGAGTAAGGGATCAGTTAGGTCAGGCACATCAGTGCTAAAAATGGATTTTTGATCACTTTTGCCCATATAGCCATTATTAAAGGACAGATGAGTTTCATATTAGTTTGGAAGATAACTTGCATGTTATTCTTCCTTTTAATTGAATTAGAGGTCAAAGTCAAGAAAACAAATAATAGATTTCTACACATTTGATAAAAGAGCCTTTATTTTTGACGGATATTTTCATATATGAAAGGATGATAATTTGCATCCTTGAATTGAGTAACATAGTGATCCCAATATCAATAGGGGACAAGATTCTTCTAGTTATGACAAATCATTGAAATATGAAGACTTTGTGATAAATAGTTTTCAAGATAATCAGTAAAAACCATGAGGTCAACTGACGGACAGATTGACCCATCTACCGACCGACATTAGCAAAACAATAAATCAAACTTGCCGCAATAGATTAACCATACAAGGCCCTATTTTCAAAGTGATAAAAAATGAAAATAACTGGAAAAAATCTATGGCACAGTGGATTTTTTCTCACTTTTGTCCATATAGCCTTTATTAAAGGACAGATGTCTTTCATATAAGTTTAGAAGATAACTTCGTGTTATTCTTCCTTTTAATTGAATAAGGGGTCAATGTCAAGAACACAAATAAAATATTTCTACACAATTGAGTTAGCAGCCTTTATTTTTTGACGGATATTTTCATATATAAAAGGATGATAATTTGCATCCTTGGATTGAGTACGGGGTCAGTCAAGTTCACCAGTATTAAAATAGATATTTACACTTTTGCCCATATAGCCTTTATTCATTGACAGATGTCTTTCATATTTGGTTTTATGATATCTTGCAAAGATTTTGGATTGAGTAAGGGGTCAGTGGGTCAAAGTCAAGGGTGCTAAAATAGATTGGCTTATACAGCTTTTATTTATAGCCTGAAGTTTTTTCATATTTGAAAGGAACATACCTTTGATAGTCCAGTGCTGGAAGTCAAAAGTCAATGTCACTTGTAATGACAATAGATTTTTTACACTTTTCATACAGCCTTTTTATGTTTTACCAATTTTTCATATTTGCAAGGAACATGCCTAAATTGGTCCTTTTAGTTTGTATGGAGTTGGGATTGCTAGGTTCAAGGTAAAGTCTTGCATTTACATGTAAAGATCCTAGTATTTGATAAAGTGAAATATTTTTCAACTTCATCACAAGTCATATCAATGACTTGCAAACTTATATTTTTCACAATTACAAAACAGCATAACTCTGTAAAGTAATATAACTGTAATTACATTATAATTTTTTTTTTTTTGGCAATTTTCCGTCCTTAACTGAGTGAATGGGTAAACATTTTTGAAATATTGTGACTGACAAGAATCTGAGCTGGGGGCATTTGTGTTTAACAAACAAGTTTTTGTTTTAAATATCTTTTTAGCTCACATGAGCAAGCTCAGGGTGAACTTTAAGGATTGTTGAATGTTCGTTGTCCGTCGTCTGTCAGCCGTCATGCGTCGTCTGTCCACATTTGTTTGTTAACACTCTAGGGTTCACATTTTTGCTTCAATCATCATCAAACTTTGTCAGGATGCTTTGTTATTGCTCGATTGAGTTCAAACATGGTTTATTTCGGATGGGAAAAATCTTGTTAACACTCTAGTGGTCACATTTTTGTCTCAATTGTCATCGAACTTGGTCAGGATGCTTGTTAAGGTAATTGCTCGGATGTGTTCGAATATGGGACATCTCGGATGAAACACTAGATCATAGGAGCTAAAATTAAAACAAATTTGTTAACACTAGTGGCTATTGATCTAAATATCCTTGAAATTGAGCTGAAAGATTGTTTTGATGATTTCTAGGTCAAGTTCAAATATTGGTCAAATGGGGTGTAAAAACTAGGTCACACCGCCCAAATATGTAAAAACCTTGTTAACACTCTAGTTGTCACATTTTTCTTTTTACTCAATTGTCATCAAACTTAGTAAGGATGCTTGTCTACGAAATTGCTTGGATGAGTTGGAACATGGGTCATCTCGGATGAAAAACTAGGTCACGGGAGCTAGAAAAAAGAAAAATATTGTTAACACTCTAGGGACTAATGTTTTGATGCAAATATCCTGGAAATTTGTGTGAAAGTTTGTTTTGATAATTTCTAGGTCTTGTAAGAATATGGGTCACCTGAGGTCAAAAACCAGGTTACACCGCCAACATATGTAAAACAATGTTAACACTCTAGTGGTCACATTTTTGACTCAATAGTCATCAAATTTGGTCAGGATATTTGCTCGGATAAGTTTGAACATGGTTATCTCGTATGAAAAACTAGGTCACAGGAGCTAGAAATAGAAAACTCTTGTTAACACTCTAGGGGCTACTGTTTTGATCCAAATATTCTGGAAATTGGTCTGAAAGAATGTTTTGATAATTTCTAAGTCAACTTCGAATATAGATTACCTGGGGTAAAAAGCTAGGTTACACCGCCCAATTATGGAAATACCTTGTTAACACTCTATTGGTCAAATTTTTTACTCAAATGTCATCAAACTGACTTGAAATTTTGGTCTTAAATGTAATTTCTGATGCCGAATTAAATTTTGATATTAACTGACCTACTTTCGATTTTAATGATATCGTTTGACCTAGTTTTACGTTGTTTTAAGTACAGATTTGAAATTTGGTACAGACTTGAAATTTGAACCAGGGTTGTAATTTCTGATGCAGAATCAATTGATATCGGCTGACCTACTATTGATATTTTTTATATCACTTGACCTACTTTTTAGCTCACCAGAGCCGAAGTCTCAGGGTGAGCTATCAGTATCAAAGGGGGATGCTCCGGCGTCCGTCGTCCGTCGTTATGCGTCAACAATCGTCTTCTTCTCGGAAACTACTTAGCAGATTTACTTCAAATTTGGTCTGTAGCATCCTTGTGACGGTCACACTAGAATTTGCTCATGTCATTCCAATTGGTCCCCTTAAGGGGTCAGCAGAGCTAAAAATAGAAATACCTTTTAATGTCTATTTCTACAGAACTAATTGATGGATTTTCACCAAACTTTGTCTGTAGTATTGTTGGGTAGTCTTTTATCAAGTTTGCTCATATTATTTTGATTGGCGTCTTTAAGGGGCCGCTAAAATTAAAAATAGATATACGTTTAAACGTCTATTGCTACAGAACTAATTAATTGATGATCACCAAACTTTGTCTGTAGCATTCTTGGGTAGTCTTTTATCAAGTTTGCTCATATTAATTTGATTTGCCCCTTTTAGGGACCGCTTACGCTAGAAATAAAAAAAAAACTTAAAACATCCTCTACTACAGAACTAATTGATGGATGATCCACAAACTTTGTCTGTAACATTATTGGGAAGTCTATTATCCAGTTTGCTCATATCAATTAGATTAGCCCCTTTTAGATGCCGCTAAAATTAAAAATAGAAATATATTTTAACATCTTCTCCTACAGAACTAATTAATGGATGATCACCAACTTTTGTCTGTAGCATTTTTGGTAATCATTTATCAAGTTTGTTCACATTAATTTAATTTGCCCCTTTTAGGGGCCACTAAAGCTAAAAATAGAAAAAACCTTTGAACAATATTTCCTACTGAAATAATAGATAGACGGTTACCATACTTTGTAGCATTCTAACGTGGTTTTTA